TGTATGGTACCCGGACCATAACATCACTCCTCAATTCGTTCCGATGTATGGTACTCGGACCATAACATCACTCCTCCATCCGCTCCGATGTATGGAACCCGGACCATAACATCACTCCTCAATCTGCTCTGATGTATGGTACCTAAACCATAACATCACTTCCTCAATCTGCTCTGATGTATGGTACCCGAACCATAACATCACTCCTCGATCGGCTCTGATGTATGGTACTCGAACCATAACATCACTTCCTCAATCTGCTCTGATGTATGGTACCCGAACCATAACATCACTCCTCAATCTGCTCTGATGTATGGTACCCGAACCATAACATCACTCCTCAATCGGCTCTGATGTATGGTACCCGAACCATAACATCACTCCTCAATCGGCTCTGATGTATGGTACCCGAACCATAACATCACTTCCTCAATCTGCTCTGATGTATGGTACCCGAACCATAACATCACTCCTCAATCGGCTCTGATGTATGGTATGCGAACCATAACATCACTTCCTCAATCTACTCTGATGTATGGTACCCGAACCATAACATCACTCCTCAATCCGCTCCTTAGAACCTTCAGAATGCTCCCTGTATTAAGTATGGGTCCTCTGCTTTCAGTAGTACGGGCCCATACTACCTGCCACATCTACCCATACTTTCCACACGGACCATCCCAAGGCTTTTAAATAGCTGCTCGACCTGCTCTTTCACCAACCCCATCGCGCGTGCTCGCTCCCCAGCGAAATTCTCTATTCTACAAGCACACTCACCTGGATCGGGTTACTCCCTAAGCTCTTTCGTTGTCCTCCCACTTCTTTGCTATCAGCTGCTGAAGAGCTCCTAATGATGCCAGCCATCTACCTCCTGAATATCGTCATATTCACTTGGTAGCTGACTCCCATCATCGAGAGTTCCACAAAGCACAAAGCAAGCAGCATTCGAGCATCGAAGAATACATAGGACTCCCTCTCTGTGATAACTCCACCTTCTCGGCTCATCCTCGAAAGTACCACCAAACTCTGTAACTCTACCCCTCATGGGTTCTAACTGGATACTCTCACTCATCACATACTCAAAAGCATAACACATATAACAACGAGTCCTAGACTAAGGCATCACAAATCAGGCCACTCTAGTCCTAACATATGAAATACCTAGACTGTCTCTAGCATGCAATATTATCTCATAAGGTGCATCATAAATATCTCATAACACAAAAAAATAAGGGTATTTTGGGAAATCACCGTTCGGGCTCAGGCTGATTGTACACACTGCTCTTTCTTGCTTCCTCTTTGAACCCTTATTCATTTTTAGAAAATTATTTCCTTAAAACTTTTCTTACTTCCTCAGTTTGAGTCCAGATTTACCCGAAGGCGCATCCGAATCCCTCAAACCAAGGCTCTGATACCAACTTGTAACACCGTAAATTTCAAGACAAATTTTTCATTTAAAATAATCATTTTATTCTTAGAAACACTTGTTTAAAATCTCATTCATAGTCGATTTACAAAACATGACTCCATTTTCACTTGCATAGAAAACCAGGATCCTCCAAAATATGACTCTTTCTCTGGTGTGTACAATCAAGCCGGTGCCGTCCCGTGATACTGAAAGAAACCTGAAAAAAACATCACACAAAACACTGTAAGCACGAAGCTTAGTGAGTTCCCCAAAATACCACACATAACACATATTAGCCACTCGAGGCTATAACTCTATGGGTCCGTGCACCCAAACTCTGTGAACCCTCAGGCTCTAACTCTGGGAACCTTCCGGTTCCAACTCTATAAACATGCACAGCATAAATCACATAGAAATAATGCAGTACAACACATCACGTACATATAGCATACAAATACTCTGAACACATAACTCTGGTTACCTACTCAAGGTAAAGTATAGTGAGAAGACTCACCTGGCAAGCAGAAAGCAGATATCCCCACACTGGAATCTCAAACTCGCCACCGCCTAACACGTAAAGCAAATATTCTCATGAATATAACTCTCGAGACTAGAATAAATCCTCTCATAACACCCTCTCATGGGTAAAAGACTAGTTTACCTCTCTCTTGGCCAAAGGCCACATCGCTGACCAAACCCTAAAAGTCAACGACAACCCTTGGTCGAAATCAAAGTCCTCAGTCTAAGTCAACCCCTGACTGACCCTACTCGTCGAGTCAACTCTGTGACTCGTCGAGTTCCCATAATCAGAACTTCATTCAATCTGCGACCTAACTCGCCGAGTCACCCCAAGACTCGCCGAGTCCAACAACTCTGAGTCCACTCGCACTCGACTCACCGAGTCATCCCTCAACTCACCGATTCTCGACTCTACCAGAGAATATTTGGGACTCTTCGACAAGACTCGCCGAGTCCAAATGGACTCGTCGAGTCCAAGGCTATCTTCAACCTACTCGCCGAGTTGTTCTTCCAACTCGTCGAGTTCCAAGCCATCTGCAAGCAACTCGTCGAGTCTACCCATGTAACTCACCGAGTACCACCGTTTTGAATCCATTCAGAAGCACTCCAGGCCATGCAATTGATCCAAAACATAGATCTAGCCTCCTACAACCCATCCATCACGTAAAGTGGCAAACTTTACGTGAATCCAAAGAGATCTAAGCCGTTTGCACATTGGGCTAGGATTTGGGACAAGATGACTCCATCAACCACTCACAAACAGGGACTTTCATGCACTCTAGACCTTCTCCCTTCCAGATCTGAGGTAGCAACCTCAGATCTAACCTCTAAACTCCAATACATCCAAAGATATGATCTCCAACATCCCCAAAATGATGCATCTAAGAAATAGCAGCTCAAAAAAACGAGATATTACCTCAAAGGAATGCCCTAATTGAAATGAGACTCGAATTCAAACAAAGCCCCTTGCTCCAAGCCTTCAATCTCCCAAAATTCCTTCACAAATACATTCTCCAAGCTCCACTCCATCCAACAATGGTGCTTCTTCGTGATTTAGGGGTTTCTGGGGCTCAAGGGGTGATAAAGAGGCTGGGAGGGAAACATAATGATCTTTATATAAGGCTCAACCCCGAGAATTAGGGTTTTCTCCACTCAGCGCCTACTCGCCGAGTCCATTACCCTGACTCGCCGAGTCGGCCACTTAACACGCGACCAAGTCGCGACTCTACTCGCCGAGTCCGCACATGGACTCGCCGAGTCACTCTTTCCCAATTTACTCTTTTAGCCCTTCAACTCTACTCTTGATATTTCGGGATGTTACATTAATGATGTGGTTATATATGGTGTGATGACACTTTTATGGTTACACTATTATGATTATTATGGCCATGTATGTATGGTTATACTGATATGGTTAATGAAAATTTTGATACATATTCAATCCCAATTAGGTTATGTTTGGTGCATATTGGTAACATATACTGATTTGGTTAATGAAATGTGCATGTTTGGACATTTTAGTCATATTTATGTACCATATATACTGATGTGTTTATATTTGGACATTTTGGTTATATTTTGATACCATAAATTCATAAGACATCATAATTTCTTCTTCATTGCCACACATTTTCATTACAAACATGCTCATAACAACCTATATCAACCCCCCCCCCCCCCCCATTTTTTTACAAGCTTGCTACAAACACAACCACCATTACATGAACTCAAGAAGACAAAGGGAAAAAAGAGAAACATTGGGAAGGTTATCACTAGTGGGGGAATGAATTTAAAGGAGATATATATATTTTTTCCTTTGCAAAAAATGTCCCTTAAATAAGAAAAGACAGATTTTCCCTCATGTGTGTGGGTGTGTGTGTGTGTGTGTGGGGGGGGGGGGGGTGGGGGCACATGAGGGGGTTAACAGTAGAAAACTAATGGATGTTGTCGGGGGACCTTTTTAACATATAAACATCTTCAAAATGACCACCAATCCAAAACTTAAATGGTTTGCACCAAAATTCGAAAAATATGCATACTGCAATGACCATTTTTTGCAATTTTGTCTATAAGTTTTTTGAATATATCTAAAAAATTTTAAATATTATAGATTAGACAAACTATTATTTATTATGGAGAACACCCTAGCTCATGAAGTGATACAACCCCACAAGTGTATAGGGGCGTAGGTAGCAAGGCTCTAGGTAGATCCTACGACCTACCTTTTTTTTTTTTTTTTTAAATTACCATATATATATATATATATATATATATATATATATATATATATATATATATATATATATATATATATATATATATATATATATCTTCTTAATAAAAGAGTCCTTTACACTCCACGTGTCCTTTTTTGCAACACCAACTTGCCACGTGTCATCCATAGGGAACCCTTCTGATTCATTTTCCCGCCAAATTGTGCACCTCATAAATGAATACAGCAGCTCCTAAAAATCAGGAGACAATTTTTTAAAATCCTGCAAATAAACATTCATATAAATCCTATTTTTATGGCAATCGGTTATTTGTTTTACAATTTGTTTTACAATAAATATAGTCAAATTAAAATCTTCAAAATCGAGCATATCATCTCCTGTAAATCAGGAATTAAATTAACACAAATCGTTGACTTCTACTGCATCATTTGATCATCACTTCCTAAATAACTTGATTTTAGTTTTGGTTAATTATAGCATTTATCTCATATCCGATATTACCTGCATCAAAACTATGCAATCAAATTAATTTTAAAACTTATCTCTTCAAATATAAAAATTCAAAAATATATAGATTTAATTTGACTGAATCATTTCATATAAAGATTTGGTTTATTGAATTTTTATTTACTATATCCCTTAAAAGTTGCATTATTTTTATATTTATTAATTAATCTTTTACCATGTATACCTCATTTTTTGTTAATTTCATCGTGTTATAAAAACAGAACCCCCAAAACAAAATTTCCATCTTCCTTTGATGTTTTATTCTTTTTAGTCTGCACCTGTTTTGTGTTCAATCAATCAATCAGGTATGTTTGAGTGTTACTATGATCTGAATGCTTAATGTCACTTTGTTTTTGTTACTGGTGTTCTGTGTTCAATCCATCAGGTATGTTTCTTTTTATTTGATTAAAATGCAATCAAAAGTTAATTTTATTTCATTTTATATTCGTGTATAATACACACAGTAGCTATGTTTAATTGTTGCTGTGATTTGAATGCTTTATGTTATTTTTTTTTTTTCGTATTTTACAGTTTTATAATCATATTCCTATAAGACATGTTTACTTTTAATCCATTTATAGCATCTTACTTTCTGCTGCAACAGTTATATAACACAAAAAGGAAATTTAAATTTAATTGTAAATTTTTTTATTCACTTTGTTTTTTCTTTGCAGACCGATGGCACAGCCAAATGTTCCTTTATTTTTTCATATTTTACTTTTTTTTAATCAAAGGACAAAAAATGCACGCTATACAGCAGCTATGTTTTAGTTATTCTTTGATTTGAATGCATTATGTGATTTATTTTTACATGTATAACATCATACTTTCTGTATGAACAATTATATAACATAAATTTGTATTATTTCAATTTAATACTCAAAGCTAAAAAAATATTTTAATTTTATTTTAATACTTTATGTGATTTGAATGCTTTATGTTATTTATTTTTACATTTTATCAATCAAGTGTGAAAAATGGCTTTGATTCTTTCTGTTGTTTTATTAACTGTGATTTGGTTTCTTTATTTATTTATTTATTTATTCGTATTTTACAGTTTTATAATCATATGTCTATAAGACCTGTTTAATCCATTTATAGCATCTTACTTTCTGCTGCAACAGTTACATAACACAAAAAGGGAATTTAAATTTAATTGTAAATTTTTTTATTCACTTTGTTTTTTCTTTGCAGACCGATGGCACAGCCAAATGTTACTTTGATTGCAGATTTGGATGTACTTAAAGATGATTCGACTATCAAAGTCAAAGTGATAAACCTATGGAACCTTTTTTCATTCTATAACAATGACGAACTTTTCTCCATTGAGTTAATCTTAATAGATGAGCAGGTATCTTACAATTTACCATGATATATTCATTCCACATGCAAAATTTAATATGATTAAATTATAAATTTATATTTTCTACTTCTTTTAGGGTACTAAGATCCAAGCAAATGTAACAAGAAAAAACATCTATCATTTCAAAAACATTCTAAAAGATGGATTGACATTTTACATAAAATGTCCAAGCTTTGCATCTCAAAGGATGGGTGGTTTTACTTTAACTCGGCAAGATCATAAGCTTAGTTTTGTCCATGAAACTGTTGTTACGGAGTGTCATGATTTTTCTGGACCTACATTTGGTTTTGAGTTTGTTGATTACCAATCTATTATCTCATTAGTCCATCCTGAAAACATTGCTATCGGTTAGTTGCATTTTATTATTTTTTTTATTATGGTCAATTTTATTGTTTGAATATAAATATAATATCATATTTTTATTTTCATAATAATATTTAATTTATCTTTTTTTTGTTGTTGATAGATGTTATTGGATTAGTGGTTGCATTTGGTGAGATGGTGCGAGACAATGATGATAAGAAATAACACAGACTAAACATCCAAATCCAAGATGCAAAGTTTGTTATTTTATTTTTTAAATTTTGTATATTTAATATCATTATCGTTTCATCTAATTTTACACTTTTATTTGGCAGCGGTTTGCAATTAAGTATCAATTTGTGGGGTGATTTTGCTTACAAGATGCAACACTTTCTTGATAACAATCCACACAATCTTCGTATCATTGTTATCCTTCAATTTGCAAAACTTAGTATTTGGAGAGGTATATTGTATTATTTTGTTATTAAATATTATTTTTTAATCATTATCCTAACATTTAATAAATACTTTATTTTAGATCGTCCAACAGTTAACACCTACTTTTCCGTGTCAAAGCTGTTCATTAACACAGACATTGATGAAATCAATGTTTTTAAGAAAAGGTAATTGATCTTTTATCATTCTAATTTCTACAATTAACTTTTATGTGATTTAATATTAGTTTAATTTTTTTTGTTTAAAAACAGTTTGGATGGAGATGATCGCCCTGATTCATCCACAAATACATTGACATGTATAAAGTCTAATAAAGTTTCCGAACATGATGATTTCATGGTTAACTTTCAGTTGAAGACAATTTCTGAGATTTCTGAACCCTTGGAGGTGTGTTTTTATATATATTTTATACTAAATATAATCCTACTTTTTTTATTTATTTATAGTACATTATCAAAATAATTTTAATGTGCAGAAAAATACATTCATTATCGTGGGTACTATAAAGGGAATTTTACAAAATGAAAATTGGCATTATCTAGCATGTACAAGTTGCAACTACAAAGCATTTCGTCCTCCTGGTGCAAACGATCAACCTAATGCTGATGGGGTTTTTATTGGTTATGAATGTCATAATAAGGACTGCACAAAAACTGAAACTTCAGTTATTCCCAGATTATTAATTTCCTACTTAATCAGTATAAGTTATATTATATTTCATATATATTTCATATTATTTTATATTATCATTTTTTTTAGATTTATGATCCCGCTACGTGTACAAGATAATACTAGTACCGTTACCTTAACCATGTTTGAAAGGGATGGAAAGTATCTTTTGAAGAAATCAGCCAAGGATCTGTTTAATAAAACATTACAGGTGATGCACCTTAATTAAATTAAAATTAATTAATACACTCACTTAATCTTGTTACTTTAACCTCACTTTTATTTTTTATCTTTTTTTTTTCTAGCTTGGTTTTAGTACTACTTTCTATCCTGGAGAGATAAATGCACTTAAAGGTTTGAAATTGGCGTTTAAAATAACAATCAAACACTTCAACGTCTCAAAAAGGAACAACCAATATAGTATATGTAGAGTCAGCGATGATGAAAAGTTGATTGAAGAACTTGAAAATAAGTTTACCGTTTCACAGGTCATTTTATTATTATTATTGTTATTATTATTATTATTATTATTATTATTATTATTATTATTATTATTATTATTATTATTGTTGTTGTTGTTGTTGTTGTTGTTGTTATGGTTTATGGTATTAATGTTTACAATTTTAAATAATATGCTGATTTATGTTCATATAATATATATTTATTATTCAGATTGGTACTTCACAATCCTTTGATATTGCCGAAGCAGATTTTGAATCACAGGAGAATCGGATTTTGAAGGTTATATAGAAATTATATTTGAATCGAATTATGTTATAACTATATTACTTCACTTCGTAATTTTTTTATTGAGTACATCTGTTTTTTTAGGATGCAATTTCTAGGACAGACGACAACATAACACCTGAAACTGTTGATAAAAACTCAGCAACAAGTCCCATGAAGAGTTTGAATACACCAACAATTTTGAAGAGAAATTTGGAAGAAGTCTTTGATTTGGAGATGAATGAAAAGTTATCATCAACGAAAACTCCAAAAATTTCATTGGAAGGAGGCAATAATCAGATTGTGAAGGTTAAGTTGGAAAAAAGTGGTTGAGTTTTTATTTTAATGCGAAGTTTCATAAGGTAGTGATGATTTTAAAACAGTGATTTTGCATTTTATCTAGTGAGTCAACTCGTCGAATTAGGCCCAATTGGTTGAGTTCATGTATGAAGTCGTCAAGTTCCTGGATCAGACAGCAAAAATCAAGTTGCTTATTCTTTGGAAAGTTCACTATTGCATCAATTCAACTGAAAAGCATCCAAGGCTTTGATACCACTGAAGGGTTTTGAGCATAACAACAAACATATGTGTTCATGCAACCCTAATTGCTTCGGATCTAAGTTTTTTTATTATTTTTTTTTTATTTTTTTTTTATTACTAATTGGACATGCAAATTGAATACCAAATCAATATCGCTAGATCTAGCATATATATAATTTGAAATTCATATATAAATTAGGGTTTAGATGTTACCTTGCTTGTTATGTAGTAATAACAAGAACACCTTTGTTGATCTTGACTCTTGAAAGCTTGGTGCCTCAAATGTTACACCTTTAATCGCTCACAAACACTTATAGCAAGATAATGATATCAGAGAGGAGGAATACACTTAGAATTTCCGCTAGCGATTTCCAGATCAAGGAGTAGCGGAATTCCTTATGCCTTGGGGACTTTAGATAGCCGAGGTTGCTAGGGTTTTCAGGTGGAAACCCTAATTTTCTGCTTAGGATTTAAGAAACCCATGGACCAATCCTCTTGAAGCCCTGGACAAAATCTATAGGACCTCCCTATAGTTTTCGTCAACTCGATTCTAAGGTGTCCAACAGCCTATTTTTGCAACTATCAATGATTTGCAAAACAACCCCCGTTCTTTTAATCAGTTTCTTTAATCACAAAATTAATTCCAAATTAAATTATGATTAAATAATATGATATCTAATTAATATATTATTTTCCTAATATATTAACAAATCATTTATTAACCCCTCTCTCTCTCTCTCTCTCTCTCTTTCTCTCTCTCTCCCTCTCTCTCCATATATCATCCTATCAAGTTGCTAAAGTGAAGGCAACCCAAAAGGACCATGCTACTATCAATCAAGCACATACAAATTATATTTATGGCCTTAGACACGTAATCGAACAATAATGTAACATCCCGAAATATCAAGAGTAGAGTTGAAGGGCTAAAAGATTAAATAGGGAAAGAGTGACTCGGCGAGTCCATGTGCGGACTCGGCGAGTAGAGTCGCGACTTGGTCGCGTGTTAAGTGGTCGACTCGGCGAGTCAGTGTAATGGACTCGGTGAGTAGGCGCTGAGTGGAGAAAACCCTAATTCTCGGGGTTGAGCCTTATATAAAGATTACTATGTTTTCCTCCCAGCCTCTTTATCACCCCTTGAGCCCCAGAAAAACCCTAAATCACGGAGAAGCACCATTGTTGAGTGGATTGGAGCTTGGAGAAGTATGGTTGAAGGAATTTTGGGAAGATTGAAGGCTTGGAGCAAGGGGCTTTGCTTGGATTCGAATTGCATTGCAGTTGGGGCATCACTTAGAGGTAATATCTCGTTATTGACCTGTTGTTATGTTGTTTCTTCATTTTGGGGTTTGTGAGAAATTGTCTATGGATGAAATAGGAAGTCTAGAGGTTAGATCTGAGGTTGCTACCTCAGATCTGGAAGGGAGAAGAATCAGAGAGCATGAAAGTCCCTGTGTTGGAGTGTTTAGTGAAGCTTACATGTCCCAAACCCTAGCCCTATGTGCAAACGGCTTAGATCTCTTCGGATTCACGTAAAGTTTGCCACTTTACGTGATGGATGAGTAGTAGGAGACTAGATCTATGTTTTGGAGCAGTTGCATGGCCTGGAATGCTTCGGAATGTATTCAGACCGGTGGTACTCGGCGAGTCACATGGGTGGACTCGACGAGTTGGATGAAGATGGCCTGGAACTCGGCGAGTTGTATGAACAACTCGGCGAGTAGGTTGAAGATAGCCGTAGACTCGGAGAGTCTGTTCTTGGACTCGACGAGTCTTATCGAAGAGTCCCAAATATTCTCTGGTTGAGTCGAGAATCGGTGAGTCGAGGGATGACTCGTTGAGTCGTATGCGAGTGGACTCAGAGTTGTTGGACTCGGCGAGTCTCGGGGTGACTCGGCGAGTTAGGTCGCAGATTGAGTGAAGTTCTGATTATGGGAACTCGACGAGTCACAGGGTTGACTCGGCGAGTAGGGTCAGTCAGGGGTTGACTTAGACTGAGGACTTTGATTTCGACCAAGGGTTGGCCGTTGACTTTTAGGGTTTGGTCAGCGATGTGGCCTTTGGGCCAAGAGAGAGGTAAAATAGTCTTTTACCCATAAGAGGGTGTTATGAGAGGATTTATTCTAGTCTTGAGAGTTATATTCATGAGAGTATTTGCCTTACGTGTTAGGCGGTGGCGAGTTCGAGATTTAAGTGTGGGGATATCTGCTTTCTGCTTGCCAGGTGAGTCTTCTCACTATACCTTACCTTGAGTAGGTAATCAGAGTTATGTGATAGAGTATTTGTATGCTATGTATGTTATGTGTTGTACTGCATTATTTCTATGTGATTTATGTTGTGCATGTTTATAGAGTTGGAACCGGAAGGTTCCCAGAGTTAGAACCCGAGGGTTCATAGAGTTTGGGTGCACGGACCCATAGAGTTATAGCCTCGAGTGGCTAATATGTGTTATGTGTGGTATTTTGGGGAACTCACTAAGCTTCGTGCTTACAGTGTTTTGTGTAATGTTTTTCAGGTTTCTTTCAGTATCACGGGACGGCACTGGCTTGATTGTACACACCAGAGAAAGAGTCATATTTTGGAGGATCCTGGTTTTCTATGCAAGTGAAAATGGAGTCATGTTTTATAAATCGACTATGAATGAGATTTTAAACAAGTGTTTCTAAGAATAAAATGATTATTTTAAATGAAAATTTTGTCTTGAAATTTACGGTGTTACAAATAATCATATGTGATTATATGTATCTAATCACATAAGATTTATTTGGACAAGTTTCGTTTTCCCATTTTGGATTCATTGTTTTTGTATTTAATCACATGTTATTATATGTATAATGTATCTAATCATATATAATTTATATGGGAAAGATACATTTTGTCTTTCTCGATTCAATATTTGTTCCCGTGTATTTAATGAAATATGATTTATATACACAAGATTTGTTTTTTATATTGTAGATTCAAAAGTTTTTTTTTTGTCCAAATTAATCGTATATGATTAAATACATATAGTCACATATGATTAAATACATGAGAAAAATTATTTAGTTGAAAACATGAAAATGAATCATGTTTATGTAAATCGTATGTGAGTAGATACATATAATCAACTATGATTATATGTATTTAATCACATGTGATTTATATGATTAAATACAAATAATCATATATGATTTAGTTGATTATATGTATTTAATCACACATGATGTTAATCGTTGTAAGTAGTAGGAGGTGGGTGGTGGTGGTGGGTAATGGTGATGGATGGTGGTTATGGTGGTGGAGATAGGGGTGGTGGTGGTAGTGGTGGGTGGTAGGTGATAGGTTCATGGGAGATAAATGGTAGGGTGTTGGTGGTTGGTGAACGATTATGGGTGATAGTGGTGGTGAAAGGTGGTGGGGGTAGTAGGTGGTGGTTGGTGGGTGATGGTTGTATTATTGGTGGGTGGTGGATAGTGGTGTTTTTGATGGGTGGGTGGGTGGTGGTGGTGGTGATGGGTAATTGTGGCGTGTAGTGATGTTTGGTGGTGGGTGGTGGTTTTTATGGATAGTGGAAGCGGGCTTGTGGTGATGGGTGGTGGTGGTGTTTGGTGATGGGTGGTGGTAGGTGGGTGGGTGGTGGCGAGTGGTGGTGATAATGGTGGGTGGTGGTTTTGGTGAATGTTAGGTGGGTGTAGTAGGGGTGGTGGTAGTGATGGTGGTGGAGGTGGATGGTGGTGATGGGTGGTGGTGGCATGTAGTGATGGGTGATGGTAGTTAAGGCTGGCAGGTGGTAATGATGGTGATGAGTGATGGTTTTGGTGGGTAGTGGGTGGGGATGGTGGATAGTAGGCGGTGGTGGTTGGTGGCAATGGCGGTAACAGTGGAAGGTGGTGGGTGTGGGTGCTTGTGACGGGTGGTTATGGTGGTTGGGTGGTGGTAGGTGCTGGGTGGCGATACTGGTCGCAGGTGGTGGTTTTGGTGCATGGCGGGTGGAGGTGGTGGTGGTAAATGGTGGTGATGGGTGGTGGTGGTGGCTGGTAGTGGTGATGGGTGATAGAGGTAGGTGGGGGAGGTGGTGGTGGGTGGTGGAGGCACGTGGTGGTAATGATTAGTGATAAGTGGTGGTGGTGGTAGGTGGTGATGGGTGGTGGAGGTTGGTGGTAGGTAGTGGTGGTGGGTTGTGTTGGTTATTGAGTTTTTTTAATTGTTTGTAACCATTTTTGATTTATATGAATATTATTTTATAATTTTAATTTAAAAAATTAGGTGATCTAAATTTGTTCTCAAATGTTCTCATAAAAAATCTTCTCGATTAAACTCTCATATATATATATATATATATATATATATATATATATATATATATATATATATATATATAGTATGAATTAGTAACCAATGCCAAACTACGTTAATTGATAAATTATGTAATTATATAAAGATATTAAAGAAAAAAGACACACCTCAATTAAGCAAAAACAAGTATGTCGACGTGATAAGAAAAATATTGTACCAACTTGATCAAGAGAAGAAAAGGATATAACAAGTTTATACTATAAATCTATATTCTGATAAATGAATAGTTTTAATCTCCTATTGCCAAATGTCACTCTCTTACAACATCTTATTAATATTATGGCATGTGTCATGAAGATATATTAGGCAACTTATTTCAAAATTCAAATTTATATTTTCTTATTATATGTTAAATTTGAAGTTATATTAACATTAAAAATTTGATATATCTCTTAGTTAATAATCTAAAACTTTTCAAAATACTAGGTTAAATTTTATCAAAGGAAAATAATCTTATCATTATCTAAATTTAACCAAATCCTTTAATTATGATAAGGATATCATATAACCTTTCAGAAAATTCAGTTTTAGGCATTAAAAACAAATTAAGGCAATTATCCTAATCAAAATTGAAAAATCAGGGATCTGAGTAGTGAATTCGTCGAGTCAGGCACTGAACTCGTCGGGTTCCTATATGAACTCTTCGAGTTCCAGGATCAAACAACAAAAGTCGATTTGCTTCTTCTTTGGACAGTTCACTATTACATTAATTCAAATGAAAAGTATCCTAGTCTTTGATACCACTAATGGGTTTTGAGCATAATAACAAACCTACGTGTTCATGCAACCCTAATTTCTTAGGATCTAAGTTTTTTCACTAATTGGACATGCAAATTGAATACCAAAGAAATAACCCTAGATCTAGCATCTATATAATACAAAATTCATATATAAATTACAGTTTTGATGTTACCTTGCTTGTTATGTAGTAATAACAAGAACACATTTGTATATCTTGACTCTTGAAAGCTTAGTGCTTCAAATGTTGCACCTCTAATAGCTCGCAAACACTTATTGCAAGAGGATGATATAAGAGAGGAGGAATACACTTAGAATTTCGGCTAGGGTTTTTAGGTGGAAACCCTAATTTCCTGCTTAGGCTTTAAGCAACCCATGGACCACTCCTCTTGAAGCCCTGGACAAAATATATAGGACCTCCCTATAGTTTTTGTCCACTCCATTCTAAGGAGTCCCACAACCCAATTTTCAACTATCAATGATTTGCAAAACATCCCCCGTTTTTTAATCAGTTCCTTTAATCACAAAATTAATTCAAATTTATTTTTATTTAAATACTAATAAATAATATGATTTCTAATTAATATATCATTTTCATAATATATTAGCAAATTATTTATTAACCTTTCTCTCTCCATATATCATCGTGTTAAGTTGTAGAGTGAAGGCAACGCAAAAGGACCATGCTACTATCAAATCAAGCACATACCAATTATAGTTAAGGGCTTAGACACATAATCCGACAATAATCATATGTTATTATATGCATCTAATCTCATAATATTTATTTGGACAAGTTTTATTTTGGCATTTTGGATTCAATAGTTATTGTGTTTAATAACATTTGATTATATGTATCTAATCACATATGATTTATGTGGGAAAGTATCATTTTCCTGTTTTGGATTCATAGTTGTTATGTTTAATCACATGTGCTTATATGTATAATGTATCTAATCATATATGATTTATATCGGAAAGATACGTTTTGTCTTTCTCGATTCAATATTTCTTACCCTGTATTTAATGATATATTGATTTATATACACAAGATTTGTTTTTGTATTGTAGATTCAATTTTGTTTTTGGTCCAAATTAATCGTAAATGATTAAATACATATAGCCACATGTGATTAAATACATGAGAAAAATTATTTAGTTGAAAACATGAAAATGAATCATGTCAATATAAATCGTATGTGAGTAGATACACATAATCAACTATGATTATATGTATTTAATCACATGTGACTTATATGGTTAGATACACATAATCACATATGATTTAGTTGATTATATGCATTTAATCACATATGGCGTTGATCATTGTAAGTAGTGAGATGTGGGTGGTAGTGGTTGGTTGCTTCGTGGTAGTAGTGGATAATGGTGATGACTGGTGGTTATAGTGGTGGTGAAAGGGGTGGGTGGTGGTGGTTGGTGAATGATGATGGGTGATAGTGGTAGGGGTTGTGGGTGGTAGTTGGTGGGTGATGGGTGTATGGTTGGTGGGTGGTCGAGGTAATGGTTAGTGGCAACGTGTGGTGATGTTTGGTGGTGGGTGGTAGTTGGTGGTGACAAGTGGTGGTTTCTGTAGATGGTGGAAGCGGGGTGGTGGTGATGGGTGGAGCTGGTGTTTGGTGATGGGTGGGTGGGTGGTGGCGAGTGGTGGTGATAATAGTGGGTGATGGTTTTGGTGGATGTTTGGTGGGTGTAGTAGGGGTAGTGGTAGTGATGGTGGTGGAGGTGGATGGTGGTAATGGGTGGCGGTGGTATGTAGTGATAGGTAACAGTAGTTAGCGGTGGCGGGTGGTAGTGATGGTGATGGGTGGTTGTTTTGGTGGGCAGTGAGTATGGGTGGTGGATAGTAGGCGGTGGTAGTTAGTGGCCATGGCGGTGACTAGGTAAGGTGGTGGGTATGGATAGTTTTGATTGGTGGTGGTCGCAGGTAGTTGGGTGGTGATGGTGGTGGTAGGTGGTGGTTTTGGTTGGTGATGGGTGGAGGTGGTGGTAGTAAATGGTAGTGATAGGCAGTGGTGGTTGGTGGTAGTGGCTGGTAGTGGTGATGGGTGATAAAGCTGGGTGGGGGAGGTAATGGTGGGTGGTATTGGTTGGTGGTGGTGGTGGGTGGTCAAGGTTGCTGGTGGTTTTGGTGGGTGATGGGTAGGGGTGGTGGTGGAGGCGGGTGGTGGTAATGAGTAGTGATGGGTGGTGGTGGTGGTGGTAGGTTGTGGGTGGTGATGGGTGTTGGAGGTGGGTGGTAGGTAGTGGTGGTGGGTTGTGTTGGTTAGTGGGTCTTTTTACTTGTTTGTAACCATTTTTTGATTTATATGAAAATTATTTATAATTTTAATTAAAAAAATTATGTGAGCTAAATTTGTTCTCAAATGTTCTCATAAGAAATGTTCTCGATTGAACGCTCATATATATATATATATATATATATATATATATATATATATATATATATATATATATATATATATATATATATATATATATATATATATATATATATATATATATATATGGGAGGGATCAATTGAGAAAAAAAAAGGTTGAGAATGGGGGAATCATTCTCAGCCAATCATTTATTTTTGCCGTAAAAGTGTCCAACGTACCGGCAGAAATGGGAAAGGAATGCACATGTGTTTTCCAACAAAACATATTTCCTTAAACTATGATAATCGTTACCTTAATATATATATATATATATATATATATATATATATATATATATATATATATATATATATATATATATATACAACATAGTTTTTTTCGTTTTTTTTTTTAATTTTTTTTATTTTTAGAAGCTATTTTTATCAAAAAATGATTTTAAATATACCAAAATTTATGATTTTTTATTTTTTTATAATTAGACGTCCATATTGATATAGTTTTAAGATAAAATAGATTTTTTTTTAATATTCTCAGCTATCGTTATTCCTAAGTGAATAAAAATGCATTAGGTTTTATTACAGTACATTTGTTATTCACTTGTGAATAAAAAATATGATTTTTTTTAAGTATCATTCATATATGAATATAGCATATAACATATTCATATGTGAATATAACATGGTAATTTAGTTTATGCATTTCATCAAACACTTGGAGTGCATACAAGTTAACTATTTTAAAAATGTTAAAAACATCAAGTTATCAATCCCAAATCATCATATACTTCCGATTTTGACTTCAGATGCGACATCCTATGTCTGATCGATTTCTCATTTTTTATTTTGATTTCCGAAAATCCAATTGGGAACCTGTGAGTACCGATTCTGAGTCCTTCATTGTCGACTGTGACTGCGAGTCCAGAACTCCTATTCCAATTTCATGAACAGCGAAGAAATTCCGGTTTAGTTGAAGAAATCTGGATGATAAGGTTGGAGGAAATTTTTTGATGATGAACGGACTGTTATCGATACGTATTTGAGATTGAAGGTTATTAACATATTTACAAGTTTGCCACTATGTGTTCTTATGCTTAGATTAAATGAGTGGCTGAGAATGATTCTCCCATTCTCAACCTTTTTTATTTTCTCAATTGAACTCACCTCTCTCTCTCTCTCTCT